TAATTGGTCAATCAACAAAATTGCATGGGTTAAATTTTTGTGTTCCCTCCTGTTAATTTTGTGTTCCCAGTACGTTCTCTCCTGTAGATTAACAATCATCTTTCTATATTTATTGCAACGGTTTTACGACATGTTACACATGTATATCATTCCATCATTTCTATTTTTAACCTATTTTAAATCAAATTATTTGTATTAATGACTCATAGGATTAGTAATTAGCAATTAGTAAGCTAGTAATACGGAAAATAGGATTAATAAGCATATTTTATTGGACAAAACATTGTAAAGGTCATGTTATTTGTGATACCTCAAGAGGTATAAAAGAGCTTGGTTTTAGACCAAGTGAGAATCATCATGTTCATGATACAATAATAATAATTGGATAAATAATTCCCCCCCATTGTTAATAATTAAATAAACACATTTTACCTCATTACAAATTTTTGCATAGTTACAGGAAAGCCATTGTGAATTGTTCCATGGTCCTCTCTGATGATTTGTGGCTGGCCACTAATCATTAGTTAGGAACCCCCCATTTGATTGTTCTATGCTGCTTGTAGGGATGCCTCAAGTGGTATAGTTGTAAATATTTCTTGTATATATTCTTTTTATTTTATTTATCATTTTTAGGCTTTTGCCAGCAGTACTTCATATTAGTACTGTAGAGAGAGAATTGCGCAATAGAGAGAGTTTTGAGTAGGCTCTGAGCTGTGTGTGGATACAGAGGCCTGGTATAGAGTATTGAGAACCCTGAGCTGTGTGCGGATACAGGGAGATTTATATATTGGACTTTTTTTTTTTATTTTATCTTATATATTTATTGGACACATCATGAGCTGTGTTTGAATTTACACAATCACAATATACTGATAGTATCAGATTGTCTCTGGACATGAATCTGTGATAATTGTCAACATTCAACATGAATGTGCTTTTTGTAAGTGCATTCTCTATATATTTCTCATGTTCATCTGCAACTTGCTTCTTTTTATGATCTACTGCTCCTGATGTTGTAGTTGCTCCAAGACTTG